GAGGAGGGGTGAGGAGAAGACGTGACAATCAGGAGGAGACAGTGAGGAGGAGCAGGGGCCTCTGGGAAATTGGCACACTGTTCCTTGGTGTGCGGGATGGAGGGACCGGGCCTCCTGGAGGGTGAGGGCAGGTATGGGAGGAGATGAGGCAGGGGGTGCGGGGCTGGATGCCCTAGCCTCTGGGGCTGGGGCCTCTGGGGTTCTCTCTCACCCCCTGCTGCGAGCGCAGGGATGGAGCAGCCTAGCCAGCTCACAGCCAGGGCCTGGCCCCTTCCCCAGCTGCTCTCCGCCTCCCCTTGCGCCCGCTGCTGCCCAGTCAGCTCAGGGACTACCTGACCTTTGTTCCGCTCCGGTGGCTAGAAGGCTCTGAAAGGAAGGAGGCAGTGTATCACAGGAGCTCCTTCCCTTGGTTCCTTGGGGCCCGCGGGCTCAGCCTGAGGCTATGTCTGGGTTGGATGATGGCCTTGTCCGCTGGTGGCCTGAAGCCTCTCTGGGTCAGTCATGTTGGCACCTTCTTCTGTTCTTCACACCAGATCCGAGCACCACCTTGTGCTCTGCAGGATGTGGGCCCAGGGCACACAGACCTAGTTCAGCCATCCCTGCCCTGAAGGAGTCCACGGCCCAGGGAACGGTCCCCTTTTATGCACCTCCTATGTGCCACTTGACATACATCACCTCATTTACTATCAACCCTCCAAGGTAGGGGATTTTTCCCCCCCGTTTTACAGGTGAGGAAACTGAGGCTCAGAGGGGTTAACTTGCCCAAGAGGCAGAGACTGGTCCACCTGCCTCCTGAGCCCAGGCTCTTTCCATCTCCAAATTTCAGAATATGATTGAGGGCCAAGTTGGTGGGTACCAAGAGTCTGTGCAGAAGTGCTCAGGAAAAGGGGAGCTTCAAGAGCTGGGAGGGATGGGGGCGGAGGGCTTGCTGAAGGAGAAGGAGGTTTGGCCCAGGGTGGAGCCCAGGGAGAGAGGAGCAAGGAATCGCAGGGGGCCAGGCTGGGCCTGGGACTACTATACTGGGTCCCAGCTGGCTGGGGGGGGGGGGGGGGGGTGTGGGGGGGAGAGCTGTGCAGGGCTGGCTCTCAGGGGGACCTGCACAGGACGGCCCCCTGTCAGGACACCTGGGTTCAATCCCACCTCCATCTTCCCCTACTAGGTGACCTTCGGTATGTAGCTCAACCTCTGACTTCCCTCTCTTCACCCATATTGAGCCTTTGTGCAAATTAGCAAAAGGTTCCCCTCCTCCAGGACCATGTCCAGCATCTGCTGGAAAAGGGCCGTGATTAATATACACACTGAGAGTAACTATGACGTGAGCGCCACTTCTTAGTGATGGGGTCCACAGCTCACTAAAGCTCATGTGCTGGCCCTTCTCTGAGGCTTGGGGTCTTCTTTTGCTCTTGGATGGGGATAAAAACCCACAATCGAGAGCCCCAGGCCCCGTGCAGAGTGGGAGAGGTGAGGGAGGGCCGATGGGTGCACCATCCCTTGCAGCTGGCCGTGCCCTCGGAGCCCGCGCCTCCTGGGAGGCCTCTTTCCTGTCGTGGCCCCGACAGAGGACCCCTAATGCTGTTTGGAGCCTCTTTATTGGTGTAGCTGCTGCCCACCACTTCCTCCACCAGTTCCTGGCCTTCCTCTCCCCTTTCTTCCAGTCCCTGCCATCCAGATTTTTCCTCTGATTGTTCTTACAATGACCTGCTGCCTCCCCACTGGGGTCAGGCCTCTTCATCCGCATCTACTGGCTCCCTGTGGCCTTGGGGCCCCCAGCTTCTAGCTCCCAAGATTTTCTTTCTTTCTTTCCTTCTTTTTTTTTTTTTTAAAGACAGAGAGAGAGCACAAGTAGGCAGAGCGGCAGGCAGAGGGAGAGGGAGAAGCAGGCTCTCCATGGAGCAGGGAACCCAATGCGGGACTCGATCCCAGGACCCTGGGATCATGACCTGAGCCAAAGGCAGACGCTTAACTGACTGAGCCACCCAGGCACCCCTCTCCCGAGATTTTCATCTCTACGTGGCCCCCAGCCCCAGCTCATGCCTGGTTCTGGTGATGGGGTTCCAAGTTCCTTGGTGCTTAGGCCGGGCCCCCATCTCCGCCACACCCGGGGTGCCTCACCCATCTGCCGGCTCTAGTTTTCTCAGCCGGGCCAGTGTGGCACTTCAGTCTTGCCTTGTCCTTCTGCCCCATTGTCAGGATCTGGCCAAGTGGGGGCAGTGGCCCCTGTGGTCTTCCTGGCCACCTGTCAGAATTGCCCCTGGGTCCTGCATCGTACCTCAGCCTAAGACCCCTCCCCAGCCCCTGGGGCGGGTTCTCTAACCTGCCACAGTCTCTGAATCCCAGGCTGCTTGCCTGGGCCAGGAGTCATCATCGGCTGAGGCTCACCCCTTACCCCCGGCCCTCTGGGGACCTCGTCTATGGGCCACAGGCGCAGCAGCCTTGCCCCTGCGGTGGAGAGATCTCCATGGACAGATGGCCCCCCACCCCTGCCAGCCGGGGCTGCACGGAAGCCCATGGCCCCTCTGGGGGGGCCGGTAAGCCCCCAGCGAAATCTCTCCTGGGTGGGTGTCCTCATGCCGGAGTAGGAGAAAGGATCTTTTCTCACCTACCATTTCATTAACAAATCTTTTTAAAGTTTCCACCCCACCCTGGGAATATGAAGGCCACCCAGATCTTGAAGGCGCTTATAGTACTGCAGAGGAGACTGACATGCAGAGACAGTTTCAGAGCTTCGGGGTCTCTGCCCGAACAGACAGGGGGGCCAGGGCTCTGGAAGCTCTGTGGAGAGGAGGTTCTCCCTGCTGGGACAGGGAAGGCCTCAGGGAGGAAGAGGGTCGCCCCATGAACTGGGGAGGGATTGCCTTCTAAATGGAGGGTATGGCTTGTGCAGAGGCACAGGGCTTGAAAGAGCCCACTTGAGGGACTGCGGGCGATTCGGTGCGAGGCCTGCAATGCCTGGGTGAGGGCACAGGGGGGCGCTGAAGCCAGTGAGACTCTTGAGCTGGGGCGTGACACGACCAGAGGTGCCTCAATCTCGGAAGACCGATGTTTAAGCTGGCCCAGGACCAGCCGGCTGCACTCCGCAGGCGATGGGGCGGTAGGGGGGGGGGGGCGCGAATGAATTCGTATTTGTGAGCAAATAAGGACTGGGGGCAGCAAGAGGGGCTCTGGGGAAGTCAAGGCCCAGGAGATGCTAGGCCCGCCCAGCTGGGGGTGCCGGCTCCGACGGGGCTTCCCACGGCCCCCTGCCCCATGGCTGCTGAAGCATGGCCCTTCTCTGCTGCCCCCAAACTGCCCAGCCATTCATGGGTGGCTGTCAGGGTTCCAGTGCTCCAGGAGGGCCCGTGGCTTGCCCTGCTCCCATCTGGGGTTCCTCCACTCCTGAGCGAGGCTTAGCCTCGCAGGCCGAGAGCTGGGGCTCGTGCCCTTCTCTGTCTGGGCAGGACAGACACAAGTGGTCGACCGTCGAAGAGGCCACCCACCGTCACCTGCTGGAAAGATGGTTCCAGGGAGTTGTCACCTCCACAGCTCTGTTTATGTACAAAGTGGGGCAAAGCAAGGCAGCCTGGCTCTGTACATGACGGTGAGTGGAGGCGGCTGCTTTCCCTGTCACCCAAGCTCGGACCCTCTTGCCCAGGGCGAGGCACGGAGTGGGTGCTCCATGTGGAGCATCATGGCTCCTCCGGGTTTGAGGGCGTTTCCTGCGTGCTGGGAGAGGCAGAGCGGGCTTGAGGATGCACTGCTAGAGCAATGACTGCTTGTGGACCCCCGGTCGTTTGGGAGACACGGCCCCATGAGCAGGTCACGGTACACAGGGCATGAGTTTAAAGATGGGGGCACTGATGCTGTGGGAGCCAAGGTGGAGTCCAGGAAGACTTCACAGAGGAGGTGACATTTGAGCTGACTTGAAAGGTGAATGGCGATGTTAGGCAAATAAGCCAGGGTGAGGGAACTGGTGGGGGAAGGGGATGAAGCTCGAGAGGTGAGGGGAACACCCCCAGGGGGGCCTCCTTGCTTGGCTAAGCAGTGAGGAGCCATCAAGAGGTTACACCGGGGTTAGAGCCATGCCTCTGGGCTGGAAGGGTCAGAGAAGCCTAGGGGAGCTTGCAGGGTTCTGGGCCGTGGCCAGGCAAGAGATGCCTGGGCCATCCGAGCCCTGCAGCCCCTCAAGGTGGGGGTGGTCTTGGTTCTTTTCTGCACTGACTTCCCCTCACCCGCTGTTGGATTATGCTGATGATCTCAGCAGTTTCCTGGAGAGCAGGATGTTCCAGCTGGTTGTGCCTCTGAGATAAGAGGACAGACGAAAGCAGGGATAAACCTGAAGGCCCAGCCGGAAGGGCCTGCAGACCTCTCTGGAAGCAGCAGTGTTGGGGCCCCCACCCCCATCCCTGCAGAAGCTAGGGGGGGGCTACGTGGCCTAGGCCTGAGGGGCCGGTGCCTGGTACGGGGGGGCAGAACCCTGTGCATCCTTCAAGCCCCCAGAGGCTGGGGCGCTGGTCTTGAATCCTCTGCTGGCTTGCTGTGTGACTAGGGCAAGTCGCTTCACCTCTCTGGGCCTCAGTGCGTCTGAGTAGCGTGGGGCAGAGGTGAGAAGGAGCACCTGCACTGCAGGTGTGTGTGGGAAGGGAAGGAGGTGAGGGATGTGACCTCACAGACGGCAGAGGACTGTGCCAGTGTGAAGCCTTTGTTCCTGGGGGCCATCGCCAGCATGGGCAGATTGGTGCACCCAGGACAGGCCTCAGCCAAAGGGGCAGAGAAGACCCCTGGGGTGGAGCCCTGATGCCGCCCCTAGCTCCCTACCATTTTGTGGCTTTGGGCTCTGTGGTGTTGAGCAGGTCACTTCCCACTCTGAGCCTCAGGTCCCCACAAGGATGAAGAGGGTAGTAATCCCTGCCTGGCAGGTTTAGCTATAAAGGGGGAGGCAGGAGGAACATTCTAGGTGGGAGGTGGCCTGAGGGGCCAGCCCCTGACCTCACTTGACCCCTTTCCTTGCTCTGCTCTTCCAGTGGGAACGCCTCTGGTTCTTGCTGCTCACCTTCACCTTCGGCCTCACGCTCACCTGGCTCTATTTCTGGTGGGAAGTCCGCAACGACTATGATGAATTCAACTGGTGAGTGGGGGGGGGGGGGCACAGGTGGCATGGGGGCCTGGGCAGGCACTGGGGGGCTGTGGTTTGAACCTGTCTCCCAGGCTGACTCCTTCCTGGTGTGCTATCATGGAAAACAGGAACGGCACACTTGGGCAGGGCTCAGCCTGGGTCTGGGGCCTCTGGACCTCATCGTAGACAAGAACCCCAAGGCCCAGAAAAAGACCAGGGCCTCAGCAGAGGAGGTGACCCCAGGGATCCAAAATCCCTGAGTAGGACCTTGGGCAGGGCTGGCGGATGCTATGGTTCTAGGGTAGCTCAGGGTCCTTTGTGGGCATGAGCCTCGGGTCCAAGGGCAGGGCCGCCTGACGCTGGTACCTGGGTACACAAGGGTACCTGCTTCTTCCTCACCCCCTCCGTTGCCTGCCTTTGTCAGACAGTGAAAGGCACGGGAAGGAGAGCAAGTTCCCTGGGTCCTAGTGGGGAACTCCTCCACTGACAGGTGTGGAAACTGAGGCCCCAGGTCACACAGGCAGTGGGAGCAGAGGTGGGGCTTGGAAGCCAGGCCTCCTCGCTCCCCATCCCGTGCTGCCTTTTCCTTCTGGCTAGAAGTTCAGTGTGACCACCAGCACACTCAGTTGAGCCCCTCTTAAGCTCAGTTTCCTCTTCCATAAAATGGGATAACTCCCCCCCCCCCATCAGGTCATTCTGAGGATGGAACGAGATGTTGGCTGTGGGAGGGCTCAGAGCTCCACGTCACCCTCAGGGCCGCTTCCCGGCCTGGAAGGCGGTGGCCATGAGGTTAGAATGTGGGATTTCTAGGACTCTGGGCTTCTAGTGGGCTGTGGTTCTAGGATTCTGGGATGGTCCTAAGATGCCTTTAATGGAGTCTGGGCATCTACTCTCCTCTGCGCGGCACGAGGCTGTGGCCCCGTAATTAATGAGCACAAGAACGGATGTGTGGCTGTCCCCCAGCTACCCGGCAAGACGAGCCTGAGTCCCAGAGGTGGCCTCTGGCCTTTATTAACTGCCATCCATCAATTATTCATCCCCCCAGGTATCCAAAGCACGGCACTGTCGTGCGGGAACAGAAACATGCCTGCTGGCCCTCCGCTGCACACCTCGGACAGTTCGGCTGAACTGGAGCGGGTCCACCCCCATCATGTACGCATGGGGAAACTAAGGCCCCAGAGGGCAGGACTCACCCACGGCCACAGAGCCAGTTAGTGCCAAAACAGTTTGAGGACCGTCCGAGGAGACTGAAGCTCAGAGAGGCTAAGTAGACTCTCCAGTGCTCGCTTCGGCAGCACATATACTAAGTAGACTTTCCAAAGTCACACAGCAAGATGCGGGCAGATCAGGGACTTGAGCGTGGCTGACTGTGTCATGCCGTCCACAGAGATACCTCACTCTGCCCAGCGACTCAGTGCCCTGTCACTGGGCAGTTCAAGCAGAGGATGGGTGCCTGCCGTGTTGGGGAGGCGGCAGGGGGAGGGCCTGCCTGGGACTTAGGGATGGCCTGAAGACCCGCAGCTCCCTCAGCCTGTCACTGAAGTTTTTTGGAGTCGGTGCTGGGATGCAGGAGACCCTACCTTGGCACTCCTGGTCTCGACAGGGTCTGGGGATCGTTCACGCAGTGAGAGGTTGTGAGCGAGAAGCAGGTGGTCCGGGCGGAATGTGGAGAGCCAGGGAGGGGCCGTGGGGGCCGTTGCTCTCCAGCAGGGCTCCCTGCCGAAAGTGAGAGACAAGTGTCACCAAAACATCTTTCGGGAGTCCTTCCCAAGGAGCAGGTCCTGCCCCTCTTTAGGCTTCAGTGTCTTCAGCTGTACGGTGAGAAGAGTGAACTCCGTGATCTAAGCAGTAGATTTTCCCCTGGAATCTGAGGATGAGGGCCTCAGGAGGGTGCAGGAGAAGGCGGGTGCCCCTCAGTGTCCTCCCGGTGTCCCCTCCCAGCCCCAAGATGGCAGCAAGCCAGAAACTGCCTGGTGCTGGCTCACATTCTCTGATTACCCTGAGTAAACTGCTGCCTTCCCTGAGCCTCAGTGTCCCCAGCTGTCCAGGGAGGATGTGGGTGCTTCAGTCTTTCTGGAGAGCAACTAAGCAGCAGTAATCAGGAGCCTTGAAAAGTTCATTCCCTTTGGCCCTGTAATTCTATTTGTAGGGTCCTATCCTAAGAAAATAATTAATAATACAGAAAGCCATGTGCCAAAAAAAGTTTTGTGTGTTCATTTATAAGAGTGAATCATTGGAAACTGCTTTCATTGGTAGAAAGTTGGCTACATATGGCACATTAATTCAGCAGACCACATGGCTGGCTGTTCGAAAGTCATGCTTCCTCGCGATTTTTACTGACATCAGTAAATTCTTGCGTGAATAATGAGAAGAGACTTGATTGAGTACTCACCACATGCCTTGCCTCACTTCATGCTCAGGAAGCCCTGTGAAGGGCACTTTGTTCCCTCCATCGTATAGATGAAGAAACGAAGGCTCAGAGAAGTCAGGGATGACATCTGATCAATCCTCGGATCCCCAAATTTTCATATTTTAGCATTGAAATTGAGATGAACGTCACAGTCAGTGGCATCTTAGACTCCGGAAAGCCTGTCACCTCTGCGGGGTCCTGCAGGCCAGTAAGAGACAGAGTGGGGATTGGAACCCTCTGTACCTCCCTCCGAAACCCAAGCTGAGCACGTGCTAGATGTGGCAGGGTCCTGGCTTTGCTCTTTTACAAATATATCAAACCGGGGGAAACCCACTGGAAGAGCGGTCTGCAAAGTCTTGGCGATGGTTCCTTCCGGGCAGTAGAACTATGGTGAATCATTGTTTTCTTCTTTACGCCTCTTGGCGTGCCCCAGTGTCCACTGGCCGGACTGGTGAGCACGGGAACCGTGACGGCGTTACGGAGCCGTCCCAGGCCTGGTCGCTGAGCCTGGCTGAGAGCCGAAGGCCCACTGGCCCTGGAGAACCTCCTGGTTCCCTGATGCAGCTCTGACCTCTTCCCCTCCCGGCAGGTACCTCTACAACCGCATGGGCTACTGGAGTGACTGGTCTGTGCCCATCTTCGTGACCACTGCCGCTGCCTCCACCTACATCACGGGCCTCCTGGTACGTGGGGCTGCCCCAGAGGGCAGGCGGGCCTGCTCCCAGGGGGAGGGCGAGCCACCCTGGTCAAAAGGGGGACGCTGGCTTGTGCCAGGGCCTCTCAGCCTCCTGCACTGCTGGGGCTGGTCGCCCTTAAGGTGGGAGGTCCTCTTGCTTTTGTCCCATCCTGGAACGTTTTCCTCCTGACCCAGTGCGAGCCATCTTGCTGTTAGGGCCCACTGCAGACTGACTCTTCCAGAAGCTTCTGCTTTGGTTCCTGCTCCCAATTCTCTATTCCCTCAGACTTGGGTCAATCCCCCTGCTGGACTGGAGGCTCTCGGGGGACTAGGCTCACGTCTGCTTCAGAATCCTGGGGCCTCGAACTCCCAAGACATTCACTGGGCAGCCCAAGTGCAGCAGGGCCCAGTGAGCTCTTGAGGGAGAAATTGTAGAGGAGGAGGAGCCTAGAGGCCTAGAATAATCTGGGAGGTGGCCAGGCTTGGGCTGGGCTGGGCATTCCCATGGCCTATGGGGAGGTTTGTCGACGGCTCCGAGCCAGGCCCAGAGTAGCAGCGGGTGGCAGAGTGTCTGGGAACTAGCAGAAACCTTCGGGTCACACAGGGCCCTAACTGTCCCCCTGTGGGCCCCCTCTTCAGGTCCTGGCACTATGTCACATTGCCGTGGGCCAGCAGATGAACCTGCACTGGCTGCACAAGGTAAGGGCTACCTCCGCGGGGGCTGGGGAAAGGGAGTCGAGGCTGTAGGCGGCAGCGGCAGCGGCAGAGTACGAGCTTGGACACGCCATCCTCGCTCCTTGGAAGGAGGCCATCCTTCCTCTGGATCCCCATGACAGTTCAGTAGCTACCAGAGTACTCACTCCACACCTGTTCTCACAGGCTGGCCTCCGCTAACTCATTCAACCCTCACGGTAGCCGTATGATGTAGATACTGTTATCATCCCATCCTACAGTTGGGAAAACTGAGGTACAGCGAGGTTACGAAACTTGCCCGGGGTCACCCACTTAATAAGATCCTAGCTTTGTAGCTGCTCACTGGCCAGCACAGGTCACAACCCCGGTCCCCTCTCCTCCTCATTCTTCAGTGAGCCCCCACTGTAAAACTCGGCCCAGGGATGGGACTCCCAACTCAGAGCCCTTCCCACCACTCCCCTTGCTCCCGGGGTGATCCCACCTCCCCGACTAGCACTAAGGCCCTGCAGGACTTGGGCCCCGCTAACAGCTCCTGTGTGGGACGGTCACCTCAGCTTCTGCTACATGAGACAGTCCAGGCCCTCCCAGCACGGCGGCCTCTTCTCTGCCCTACCTCTTCGCCCTTGCCCTCCCTTTCTCTCTCCTTTGGACTCCTTCCTTGGTTTGCCTCCCCTACCTACAGTCTGCTCAAGATCCTCCAGCCCTGGCAGGCTCCCCTGCCACAGTCCTGAGCGTCTGTGCTGCCCACTTCCATGGGCTCCCCCGCCCCAGCCCTCCCCAGTCTGGGAGCTCCCTGCCAGCCAGGTTGGCTTTGCCCATCTCCATGTCCCCCGTGCCCCCTCAGGACTGGGCCCATACACACATTCTGAGCCTCAGCACTCAGGCCGTTGATTGCACGCGTGGTGCTAAATGTATGTGACCGATGCCTGCCCTTCCCGGGGCCTCAGTGGGCATGGGGTGTGGTAGAAAACCCATCAAGAGAGCCCCTCCTTCCCCGGAGCATGTGGGCCTTGGAGGGAGGCTGGACATTTCTTTTTTCCCAGAGCCTGGCTCAGAGTGAGCATGTTGTTTAGGAAGGGGCAGAAATGTCCAGAAGTAACCATGAGCCCGTGAGAGGGGTGCAGAGTGACAAGGGGAGGGCTCACTTCCTGCTAGAAGGGGGACATGCAGCAGGAACCAGAAGAAGGACGGGGGGGGGCGTGGGGGCAAGAAGTTGGGCTGTGCGGAGTGGCAGGTGCCAGTGGGCATCCAGGGGGGCCTCCGAGGTCAGACGCTGGGGAGTCAGACCCTGGTGACTGAAGTCTGAGAGGAGTGAAGACCAGCCGGCCACCCTCCCCCTTCCTCCGCCTGTCACTCTATCCTGAGGTCTCCTTTGGGCTTCTGAAGTCCCCTCATGAGGCACTTTCTTCTTCCGGCTGAGCAGCTGACAGTTGAAAGAACTGCCCCAGCCAGCACGCCAGGTGGGGCCGGCACCCACTGGGGTCCCCTCCTCTGGCTCATGCCTGCTTCTCAGCAGGCCGGGTCACACCTGCTTGATCCTGGTGGAGAGGCCTCCGGAGGCCCGGAGCCAGCCCGGATAGCAGATCAGTACAGGGAGTCGTCCCCTGGGGCTGGAAGGATCAGATCCCTTCGTGGGCACCAGGGCCAGCTCCTGGGGTGCCAGTCCTGCCCTCCTCCCCCCTCGGTCCCCTCCCGTGAGATCTCGGGGTGAGCAAGGTCTTTCTAGGCAGACTTGATCCATAGCTGGACCCACTGCACCAGGAGGGAGGGAGTTCCTAGGGGCTGGGAGGATTCAAGCAGGGCCTGGAAATTCTACCGTTCTGTTTCGAAGATTCTGTCACTGGATTCTAAGATTCTAAAGAATCCTATTTTTTGTTTTAACCAATGTTTGACCATCTAATACATTGACACGGTTCAAAATTTTAAAAGTACTAGGAAGTATGGAATGCAAATCTCCCTGCTATCTTCCCAGAGATATTTTAAGTATGTGCAAATATGCATGTACATTTCCTGTTTTCCTCCTTCTTTCCCCAAAAGTAGCCGGCTCCCTCTCTTCTGCACCTTGGCAAAACCAGAGCTCCTTGCCCTTCGTGTGTTGAGAGCCTTCCCATTGGCATCCACCCCTCACCCCAGCCCCACCGGCTCATCCCTGGTTCCTGCAGCTGATGGGGCTGCCCGACACCCCACGCTCTCGTTTCCTCACCAGCGCAGCGTAGCGGTGAGCTGGGCCGGGGAGTGTGCGGTAAAGAGTTCTTGCCACGTAGCCGCATTGCCCAGGGCCACAGATCCACGACCCGCAGTCTGGGCTTAGAAAACACCCTCACCATAAAGCGTTCACCGATTTCTTGACTTTGGCCAATCCATCGGGTGAAGATGCCACTAGTTTAAATGTGGGTTTCCCTTATGATGAGTTAGATTCAGCATAATCCACGTGCTGGAGTCACTTACGTTTCCTTTTCTGTAAACTGGCTTTTCCTCTCTTTTGTCCTTTTTGTGATGGTGTTTGCTTTTCGCTTATTGATTTGGAGGAGTGCTTTCTAGATTCAGAGAATTAGCCCCTTGGCCGATAAACTGCAAATAATTCTTATTTGTCTTTCGACTAGGCTTGTGTTTTTTGCCATAGGAACTTTTTTATTCTTCAGGGTGTGAATGTGTCATCTCTTTGAAGTCTCCTGGGTTTTGGTCAGAAAAGTCTTTCCCAGAAAAAAAATGTCTCTGCTGGTATCACTTGCTAACTGTAGGTTTCTACTTTTTTTTTTTTCCCCAACATTTACCTGTTTTATCTTTCTGGAATTTATTTGGGGGTATAATGTGATCTTTGTTCTTTTTTAGATGGCTTCCCAGGTCCCGACTCTCTGTTCAGTAATCCATTCCTTCCCTCTAACTTGAGATGACACTTTTATATTAGACTAATTTTTTTTTAATGTATTTAGATCTGGGGGCACCTGGGTGGCTCAGTCAGGTAAGCATCTGACTCTTGATCTCAGCTCAGGTCTTGATCTCAGGGTTGTGAGTTCAGGCCCCGCAATGGGCTCCATCCACGCTGGGCAGGGAGCCTGCGTAAAGAAAAAAAAAAAAGATCTGTTTCCACTTCTCTCTCCAGTCCCATGCCAATATCGTACTGCTTTACCTATGACAGTTTGATGTTTTAATCATTATCTTTGAGAGTCTCTGGTTCCCTGGGGTCATGAGTAGGTGTGCGCTGCAGAACAGAGGGGCCCAGGATGGTGCAGAGAGGGAGTCATTTGGGGCAGGCAGGGTACTGTGAGCAGATCTGGGAGTCCACCTGGGGACCTTCCCCCTTCCTCCCCAGTCCTCCCAAAGCTTCTGTTTCCCAGAAACAGGAGCCAAGTCCAGGGGCCCAGAAGGTGAGAAGGTTGAAGTGTGCTCGGCGCTTTCCAGTAAACAGGAGGTCCTTTCCCTTAGATGCCCCACTTCCCGCCCCACCCACCACTCCAGAATCGGCTCCCACCTCCCCAGGCCCTTCCCCGTCCTGGCCCCGGTCAGACCCCACCGCCCCCATCTGTGGCCTTGCCTGACTCGTCTGCTGCAGTGGCAGCAGCCCCCAGCCCAGGGCCTGCCCGGAGGAGGTGTCTCAAACTCTGCCACTAACATTTAGTAAGCGTTTACTCTCGGGGTGCCGACCACCGTGCTTATTAGCACGCCACCTGCTTTCTCTCCCTTGTCCCCACACCCCTTTCAGGTGGGCACTCTCTCTCCCCGTTGCACAGCTCAGGAGACGTGCTTCCGGAGGCTAGCCTCTCCCCGTAGGGCCGTATCACCGGGGTCTGACTGAGGGAGGGGACGTGCGGGGCCCCGAACCCTGGCCAACCATCTGCATGGGGACCGCAGGGCCCAGCGTCCAGCCGCCCCCGGGAGGCCGCCGTGCAGCCCCTCTGCAAGGCCGGCTTCCAGCCCCGCACTGCACGGACAGGCTGCCTGTGTCCTCTGTCCCTCCCACTGTCCTCTCAAACCACAGTCCCCTGCACAGAACTCCAAAGACCGCTTTCACAGGAGCCGAGTGCGCCATCTCTGGGCCTTCTGGGTGGGCTTTATCCTTTCCAGAGAGATTTGAGGAACAATGGTCACGTTGGGCACCGGTGCTGTTACTGTGGCTTCGGGAGACAACATGGGGTGGGGGGAGGGTACCCCACAGACATCGAGCACCGTGGTGATGCTGCTGAGCATAATGGTTGCCACGACAGCCATGGCAAGACTCGGAGAGAATAACAATTTTAACTGCGTTAGGATTATGGGAAATCAGTGTCATCGCAGGCCTCTCCACTAGCAGCAGTTCAATGTGGTGAGAATGTCAGAAACAATCCTTCAGAGACCTTGGCTGTGCCCAGGGCCTGCCTGGAGGGGGCGGGGCGGGGGGCGCACGCAGGGAGCCCATGTGTGGAGGGGGATTTCTCAGGGATGGCAAGCACACTCCTTGGCCTCCCTCCACTGCAGCGGGACACCCCAGAAAGAGCACGACCTCCGAGACAGGCAGGATGGGGTTCGCTTCTGGATCTGCCCCCTCAAAGCTGCACGGCAAGCAAGCCCTCATGCTGAGCGGTTTCCCTGCATGTAAAATCAAGGTGATCGTGACCTCACCTGAGACATTAGAAGAATAAACATGAGGAAAGCAGGACGTCCCTCCCCTGGCCCCGGGCACGCGGGCCCTCTTGTCTGCCTGCGTCTCTCCTCTTCTCGTTTTTCAGCCCATAAAGGCCCCCACCCATCTCAGCCTTATTACTGCTTCTTATGGGAACATTCATTTCCGGGCTGATGGGCTGGAATGACAAACCTCCAAAGGAAAACTTAATCCCAGGCAAGGATGAATCCTCCCTGCCTGGCAGGGAACGAAGATGGATCAACCGCTGTCTCTGGCCTCCCCGTGCCAGCTCATTCAGTTGGTGGCGGGCCTTCAGAAGACTTCTGCCTCGAGGAAGGCCCTGCAGGAAGAGAAAGGGGGTTTCAGTGAGGAGACAGCTTGCAGCAGCTGCGGGGCAGGGGGTGGTGGCCTTGACTGGCCCATTACGGAGAGGGGGGTGGGGGACCTGGGGGAGAGGTGTGACCTGAGCCTAGAGGTGCCAGGCTTGGCAGGGAGGGGAAGGTGGCTGGGGTCGGGGGGAAGGGGTGTTGAGGTGGGGGGCTGGGGACTGAGTAGTCAGAAACCAGGCTTCACTTAGTTTGGGGGAGCATCTTGCATTGCATGAGATGTTTCAGATCCATCTGTCCCCAAAGCTGTCTGTCCTGTGGAGGTCCTGTCTCGTCTTCCCTCGGAGTCACGCTCCTTGCTTTCTCCAGGAGGCAGCTCCGGGGGCAACCCGCCCCCCGGCCCCCTGCCCCCACCGCACACAGTAGAAGTTGGAAGCAAGCCTTGGCAGTGGGGCCCGTGGGGCAGAACCCCACCTCACTTCTGCTGGCTGCAACCTCAGGCGCTATCAGTCTTGCAGGGGACCCGGCTCCTCAGCCTCCTGCCCCCGAGGCCTGGACAAGTCACCCTTCACCCCAAGGGCTGCTGGCAGGGCTAGGAGAGGCCTTAGACGTGACCGGCTGGGCCCAGGAGAGGTCCCCACTGGCCGAGTGTCTTCCTTCCTCACACCCTCAGGGGGGCTGAACCCTGGGCTGAGCCTCCGCCTCCCGCCCGCTTCCTCCCACCTTCTCTCCCCTCTGGCCTCCCTTCTGTCCTCTTGAGGTCGGCCTGCCTCCTCCGCCCCTGTCCCTCGCTGTCACTTTTGGCTGGCTGTCTCTGGCTCTCTGTCAGTCGTGCCTCCTTTCCGCTTCCCCACCTCCCTGCTTTGTGGGTCTCGCGTTCTCCATTCCTCCCCGTGTCCATCTCTCGGCCTCCCCCTGCTGCCTCTGCCCCCCTCTGTGACACACTGGGGACGCTCGGGCTGTCCAGGCCCACCTGCTCTGACCCTCTGTCTGGTGATTCTTCCGCTTCCAGATAGGGCTGGTGGTCATCCTCGTGTCCACGGTGGTGGCCATGTCAGCCGTGGCCCAGCTGTGGGAGGACGAGTGGGAGGTGCTGCTCATCTCCTTGCAGGTGAGTGTGGGGGGCGGGGGTCGCTGGGCAGCTGCTTCCTCGCGACCTTCCAAACAAGGCAGTGCCTTTTTATCGCTCACATCTCTCCAAAGGCCCAGAGGGGGCAGGGAGCGGGTCTAGGTCACATAGTAAGTCAGAGCAGGGTGGGGGCTATAGCTTGGGGTTTCTGCACCCCGAGTTTCCTTCCACTAAAAAATGGAGACAGAGTTGCCTGCCCCATGGATAGAGACAGGCTGTCGGGATGTTGGTGACCAGAGGGTATGGGCGTGGCTGGGAGCCAATGGTCCCTCTTGCCCCTTCCCACACACAAGGGCACAGCGCCATTCCTGCACGTGGGGGCCCTGGCCGCCATCACTGCGCTCTCCTGGATCGTGGCGGGACAGTTCGCCCGGGCAGAACGATCCTGTAAGTATGACAGCCTTCTCAGTACCCAAACCAGCTTATCCTGCCCTCACTTGGACGTCACCTAGGTGGCCTGGGGATAAGGTGTTGCTCTCAGCGTGAGGGTTCTGATTCAGAGTGGCCCACAGGTTCCACCGAGGGCTGCAGCATGTTTCCTCCTCTGCTTGCCTGTCTATGTGGGAGTGAAAAGTCAAGCTCACCTTCCCAGCAAGAATGGGGGCTGCCCGTGGTGCAGGGTCCCCGCAGAGCATCTGGGTCCTGACAGGGGGAGGGAAGAGAGGTCCAGCATCCCCCCCACCTCCAAGCTGCCCAGGGTTCATGGGTGGGCCTCACGGGAGCCACACAGCTCACCAGGTAGCCTCACTCACGGCCCTTGTCTGCAGCCTCCCAGATGGCCATTCTCTTTACCTTCTTCACCGTGGTGTTTGCCTTCTACCTGGTGCCTCTCACCATCTCCTCTCCCTGCATCATGGAGAAGAAGGATCTGGGCCCCAAGCCAGCCCTCATCGGCCACCGCGGCGCCCCCATGGTGAGTGCCACCTGAGCGTCCTAACAGAGCGGGGTGGGCTGGAGCTGCCATTCTGGGAGAGACAGGCCAAGACCTATGTCCTTGTAGAGAGGACCTTGTAGGGAAAGGGACAGAATAAGCGTAGTGTAGTAACAGCAATAATCTTTAGCCCTTTCGGAGGGCATCTGGGAAGAACTGGTGGAAAAGCTGGGGAGCTTAGATGGGACTGAATCCTGAAGCATCCTGAAGGCATCTTGCTTAAAAGATTTAACTTGTATCCCGAGGGCCCTGGGAAGATGCAGGAGGGCTTCAGGCTGGGGCCAGACCCAGCCAGGTTGTGGGTTGGGAAGGCCCGGGAGAGAGAGGTGCCAGGTGTGGGGAGAACAGCAGGGCCCTGGGTTCCAAGAGTCAGCAGGAGCACCTTTCAGGCTGTGGGGGGGGTGGACGGGATGGGTACGGCTCAGAGCCCACTGCTAAAGGGAAGGTAGCTGAATGGGGTTGAATTGGAGAGAGGAAGAAGTCAAAGTCAGAGCCCTGTGACCCCACAGTAGACCTTCCATTTGAGAGGATGGCTTTAGAGTCATGCTTCCTCAGCCTTTTGGCAGCTGGGGGAGCCTGGATCGATCCCTATCTGCTCTGTGCCCGTTTCCTCATCTTGTGCTCTGGGCTAACGAGAGTGTCTGCGCCAGTGGGCCATGCAAAGCAGGACTTAGCACATGTGAAGTGCCCAGCTATGAGCCTGGTACACAGAAAATAAGAGGCAGACATTCCTGCTTTCTGGGGCAGGCCTTCTCCCTTCTCTGGACCAGGGATTCCTTTCCAAGAACACCCTGACTTGTGGTTCTGAACAGGGGCAGTACCACTCTCCACCCCCAGGGGGCGCTTGAGGACCTCGTGAGAGCTTTTTCTTGTTTTTTGCAGTGATTGAGAGTTCCATGATGTCATTGAATTTCAGGGTAGTCAAGGTGGCCTCACAAAGTAACTTGTAAAAGGAGGTGTTGAGTCTGATGGGGCTGTGAATCACCCTTAGGTTCTTCCCCACTATCTGTGGTGGGTGTTACTGTGCCCATTTTTTAGATAAGATTCAGACATCTGTGCCCAGCTGGACCCTGGTGCTCTCCCAACATACCCTTTGCTGGTCCCAGCACCTCCTGGAAGAAACCAGCTGGAAAGGCCATGGCTTTGGAGTCAGAGGGATCTGGATTTGGGGTCCAGTTTTGCTCCATGTTGCCTGTGTGTCTTGGGGGTGTCACCAGTCCCCTCTGAGCCTTATGCTGCAGACTATCATGAGCATAACTTAGAAGCACAGCTCGTGCAGGTGGACGGGGACCAAGATTACAGCCCCTCTTCTGCTCAGGACCTAGATTACCCACCCAGCCTGCTCTGGAGGCCAGGGGACAAGCTCCTGCACTGAAGGGGAGGTGCTCAGCCAAGGGGAAGGAGCCAAGTGGCCCCAGCATAGATCATTTTTTTAGTAGGAAAAATTTCTATTATTCATAGAAGTTGCAAGAATGGTATAAGGAATCCCAGACCGAAGAATAGTATAATGACTCCAAGACCACCTTCAACATCTATCGGTATTCTTGCCATTGTTTCATCTGTCTCCCTTTTTCTTTTCTGCTGCAATTTAAAGATTTTTTAAAAGATTTATTTTGGAGAGAGAGCACAGTAGGAGGCACAGAGGGAGGGGGAGACAGGATCCCAAGCAGACACCACACTGAGTGTGGAGCCAGATGCAGGGCTTGATCCCACAACCCCAAGATCACAACCCGAACTGAAACCAGATGGTTAAGCATCTGCCTTCGGCTCAGGTCATGATCCCAGGGTCCTGGGATTGAGTCCCGCATCGGGCTCCCTGCTCCTTGGGAGCCTGCTTCTCCCTCTGCCTCTCTCTCTCTTTAATGAATAAATAAATCTTAAAAAAAAAAAAAAAAAAAGAACTGCATGCCCAGGACACAGGACACCTCAGTGGCTCAGTTGGTTGAACATCGGACTCTTGGCTTTGGCTCAGGTCATGATCTTATGGGTCGTGGGATCAAGCCCCGGGTTGGGCTACACTCTGCCCTCGGCGTGGAGTCTGCTTGGGATTCTCTCCCTCTTCCTCTCCTTCTGTTCCTCCCCTCCACACTCTTCGCTCTTTCTCAAAAATAAATAAATAAAATCTTAAAAAAAAAAAAAAAAACTGCATGCTTCACAGACTGAGCCAGCCAGGCACCCCTCTGCTGTAATATTTTAAAGCAAATTCCAGACATCCGGACATCGTATCATTTTGCCCATATGTACTTCAGGATATATCTCTAATCCTTAAGGACGTTGTTTTAATATAATGATAACTACAATGATGCTGTTAACACCCAACCAAATTAATAATTCTTTAATAACCAAATTAATAATTCTTTAATATTATCTAATACTGAATCCATGTTTAGTTTTCCTTTATTGTTTCAAAAATACCTTTTTACAGTTGAGTTGTTAAAAATCAGGATCCAAACAGGGTCCACATGGTGCATCTGGCTGACATGTCTTCCAAGTTTCTTTTAGTATATAGCAATCCCCCTCCCTTTTTTCCATATGCTGTTTGTCAAAAAAACTGAGTCATTTGTCCTGTAGAATTTCCCACATTGTGCCTGTGGCTGGTTGTGTCCCCGAGGTGGCTGCTGAGTGGCTGGCACGAATGCCTGACGCAGCCCCGTGGGTCACTGCGCCTGCACGTGTGTTGGAGTCCACACCTGGGTGCATCACTGCCTCTGGATCCACACGTGTGTGTGTGTGTTCTTTAACATTTGGTCAGACCAACTCCAGCGTTGGAACTTTGAACCACAGTGGCCTGCCCAGCCGAATTTGTGACAACCCCCCCCCCCCCCCCGCCCCCGCCACATACACACTCAGAATCCCACTTGGGCTTAGGCCTGAGGCAGGAAAGGATTAAGAATTCGCCCTGAGGGGCGCCTGGGTGGCTCAGTCGTTGAGCGTCTGCCTTCGGCTCAGGTCAAGGTCCCAGGGTCCTGGGATGGAGCCCTGCATTGGGTTCCCTGCTCCGCAGGAAGCCTGCTTCTCCCTCTCCCACTCCCCCTGCTTGTGTTCCCTCTCTTGCTGTGTCTCTCTCTGTCAAATAAATAAATAGAATCTTAAAAAAAAAAAAAAAAGAATTTGCCCTGAAATCCTGCATGCTTCTTGGAGCCCTCTTGGGGCCCCCAGGCTGGCCAGGGCAGGCTAGGTTTCCACGGCTCTTCTCCAGGAGGCCAGCACCTACCCCAGGGAGACCTGAGTTTACAAAGCCTCTGCCCTTCCCCATCACTTCCCCTGCTCCCCAGGGGTCTTTGTAGCCCCTGCTGGGCTCCTTTGTGTCTCCCCACAGTCTACCTTCTGCAGCCTCAGCCGACAAGGGAGCTTTGGCACCTCTGAGGTGGTCACTTGTGAGAGGCCTGGCCGCAGGACATTTAGAGGCGAGATGGGCAGGAACTCCACCGAGTCCATGCCCGTCTCTAATGCCTCTGTGGCCCTGTTCTGCCTCTGGGTGGGGCCTCACACAGCTTACCTGACTGGGAGAAGGGAACCGTGTCCCCCAAAGCTGCTCTGCCCCAGGGGAAGGGGAAGAAAGGAACTCGGGTATAGAGACTGCTGATGTCTCTCATCTCACCAATGAGCTTGATAACATTAGCCTGTTCTATAGCTAGAGATGCTGAGGTTCAGAGGTGAGGTGAGCGGGGGGTGGAATTGTTCCTTCTCAGCCCCAAAGCCCTTGCTGTGCTAGGCCACCTCCCAGAGGCAGGGAATGTGTTAACGTGTGGGAGCGGCACGGCCAGAGGGAGAGAAGGTGGGCACAAGTGTGTCTTGGTGGGAATGAAATCAGCCACAGGAACCCCCTGCAGCCCATCCCTTCACTGCCAGAAGACCTCCCTTCCTCTTAACCAACCCCCCACCCCTCGCACTGGGTCCTAGCCCAATCCTTGGTCTTGTGGTGACGCCCAGTGGCTACAGAGGATATGACAGGGTCTTCAGACTGGACAGAACTAGGGAGGGATACCTGGAACTCCCAACTGGAAAGACCCCCAAATGGAAGGACCCAATGAATTCAGAGAACACTGAATATACATGCCCAAGGGGAAAATGGGGAAACTGAGGTCCATAGGAGAAAGAGATGCACCGATGGTCACAAAGCTAGTTTATGACAGGGCCAGGGCTAGAACCAGGATCTTCTGGTGTATATGCTATAGGACTAATAGTAGTCACTTATTAAGCACTTACTGCATATCGGACATGTTGGGGGCTTATAATCCATGTAACGGTCTAGGGGATCGTCTTGTCATGTCTGTATAGATGAGAAAACTGGGCACCCTGTGGAAACTCTGCCATCCTGAGTACCTTCTCCTCTCCCTCTGGGATATCCACCCAGACCCGGGGTGTAACCAGGAGGAAACATGGCTGCAGCCCCAGCCCCAGATTGCCACAAGGCAGAGGACTGTATAACAGCCCTCACACCCCCACATTTATATACATCAACACTAACCACCCCTGCCTCATTTCCTGCAAAGAAAACCTGTGAGGCAGGCAGGATTTAACAGATAAGGAAACGGAGCCTTGGAGAAGCTGCGTGGTGCCCCGGGTCCCACAGCTACTGCCTGGACGAGCAAGAACTAGAACCAGGCCTACTCCAGCCTCCCAACACGGAAGGGTCTACACTAGCTGGGGAGGTGTACATCAGCTAAATCTTGGCTCTCCCTTCCTACCTAGCTGGCCCCAGAGCACACGCTGATGTCCTTCCAGAAGGCCCTGGAACAGAAGCTGTATGGGTTACAGGCTGATGTCACCATCAGGTAAGTGTGGGGGGTTGGGAGGACCACAGCACCCCTCATCCCTGCCACATACACATCTGGGACTTTGCTGGAGGAACCTCGGGTCCCAGAGCCTGAGAAGGGAGGGCCAGGGCTTGGCTCCACTGCAGGGCCCACACCCTGTTTGTGCCAAATGCCAGAATATAAAATAGGGAAATAAACAGACGCTCTTGCTTCAAGCAGGGGTTGGGGAGTGGGACCTGGAGTCCTGCCACAGATCCAGTTGAAGTTAAGACTAGATCTATATGGCTCAGCAAGACGGAGCTCAAACACGGATAGGTGAAATAAGAACAGTGCAGAGCGATAGTCACTGTGATGTCATTTATATTGTAGTTCGAAGACCACATAAAACGATTTCTATGTTCTCAACATGTAGATTTTAAAAGTACTTGGTAGTATAAAGGTTGAGAAGAATTCATACCAATCTCACAACAGATGACCTCTGAGAGGGGGGAGAGCGGGGCTACCGTGTGCAGTTTACACAGGCGGTGAAGTGAGTGAATAAGGGCACCACACACGTGAGGTTCTGAGCGTAGATACCACCCTTAGAGAAGCCATCGTTCCCAGTGTAGGTATCACAGAATTGTGTGTTTATCACTTTCTAGCAGATGGTGGTAAAATGCCTTGAGGAAGGGGGCCACATGTGCCTCTTACTGTTTCACACTAAGATACCATAGGGGCTGCTCACAGCTCCAGTGGGGTAGACCGGGATGGTGCTAAGGGGGAGTGTGTCAAAGGGGCCTGCATTTGTCCTGTCCTGTCACATGGACTGGGTTCTAAGTCAGGTTCTACCACTTCCTGGGCTAGTGCGTTTGAGCTAGATACTTCCCTCTCCCAGCCTCAGTTTCCCCATTATCAAATGAGGTCACACCTTGTCTGCTAGTGGTTGCTAACAGGCCCAGCCCTCCCTCTTCAGCAGTCCCTACCCACCCCCCCAACCCTCACAGAGCCAGAGGGACTCACCCCCTGTCCTCCCTGTGCACACAGGGAGCCTGAGGCCCAGAGAGGAGCAAAGCCTGCCTGGTTCCACCACCTCCACCACGGGGGCTGGTGCAGGTGGGTGGGAAGGAGTGTACGGATGTTGGTGGAGGGGATCACTGGTGGGCAGGTGAGGGACCTGGGTGGACAGTGACTTGGGGGATTCCGCCTTCCCGCAGCCTGGATGGCGTGCCCTTCCTCATGCATGACAACACCCTGCGGCGAACCACTAACGTGGCGGAGGAATTCCCGGAGTTCGCCCGCAGGCCCGCCTCCATGCTGAACTGGACCATCCTGCAGAGGCTCAATGCTGGCCAGTGGTTCCTGAAGGTCTGGCTCTACCTGTCCCAGTCCTAGGCATGGAAAACACAGGCAGGGACCCCACAGAGTGAGAGGGCCAGGGGCAGCCAGCAGCTCAGAGGACCCCTAGTCCCCTAGCATCAGTGACTCACAGCCAGGCTGGTTAGTGGCCTGCTTGAGCTCCTACCACTGGAGCCCGGATGTCATGGTCGTTAGTGCTTGTTCGCATTCTGTCTTCCCCATCAGAAAAAGTTGACAGTGATGATAATAGTTAACAGGTAAAAACTGGGAACTCTGTCAAACTCCAGAGGGAGATTGGTTCCTGGTCTGAAATGCTACTAGAGGAGAAATGTGCTAGAGTCTGGGAGAAGTTCCAAGCAAATGACTTTCAGGAAACAGGGGTGGCGTGGAGAAGTTAGGGGTGGGATCTCCTAGACTCCCCACAGGGCCCCTGACGTCAGTTTGCCTGACCCCGCACACCAGCAGATGCTCCGTGCTCGGTGGCTGGTGAGGCAGCCCTGTGTATCCCTCTCTCTGCCAGACGGATCCCTTCTGGACGGCCAGCTCCCTGTCGCCCTCTGACCACAGGGAGGCGCAGAACCAGTCCATCTGCAGCTTGGCAGAGCTCCTGGAGTTGGCCAAGGGCAACGCCACACTGCTGCTCAACCTGCGTGACCCGCCTCGGGAGCACCCGTACCGTGGCAGCTTCCTCAACGTCACGCTGGAGGCCCTGCTGCGCTCCGGCTTCCCCCAACACCAGGTGAGGCCCTGCCCAGCCGCGCCCCAGGCCTGGCTGAAGCAGGCCTCCAGCATCAATGCACCACGCCACCCATCCGGACCTCAGCTTCCACATGTGCAGGATGGGGGAGCGGGCCCCTTGCCTTCCTGACAGGGTCATCATGGGGACGGGAGGGAAACAAGAAAGGCCTTTAAAATGGACAGAGGGCAGGAGCTGGTTCTCTGGAACACTGGTATTTCCGCATCCCTGTGGTATAATACTCAAGAGTTCAGAGAAATTGGAAACCACTTTCTGGCAGCACACGGGACCGGTGGCAAGCTACAGAGTGACGTGGGTTATCAGTCTTGGGACAGGGGTCTAGAGGGGAGAGCAGTTCACAGGCTTGGCTGGACCACGTTGTCCCCTGTAGATGATTATTACACGTGAGCCTCACTGTGGGCCATATCCCATCACTTTTAACCCTTCCGGGAGCTTTAGGAGGGGTAGATGCTGTAACCCCAGGTGACAGAAGAGAAATCTGAGGCTGCCCCCTCCTGCCTGCAGGTCATGTGGCTGCCCAACCGGCAGAGGCCCTTCGTGCGGAAGGTGGCTCCTGGCTTCCAGCAGACGTCGGGCTCCAAGGAGGCGGCCACCAGCCTGCGGAGAGGCCACATCCAGAGGCTGAACCTGCGCTACACTCAGGTGTCCCGCCAGGAGCTCAGGTGCCCACCCCAGCTCATGCAGCGGGGGCCGGACATGCTGGGGCTCGTGGTTCAAAGAGTAGAGGTTGAGAACATTGGCAGATCTGGGTTTTGTCTGAGCTTGGTCCTCTGTGGGTGGAGATTCCCTTCTCTGGAGACAGTGGTGAGGATAGTGGGTTTATAAAGGGGGACATGCTTTAGAGGCGTCCCACGCTGGGCCCGGAGGGCCCCCTCGGAGGGCTGACAGCCTCTGTCCGCCTGCCCCACAGGGACTATGCGTCCTGGAACCTGAGTGTGAACCTCTACACGGTCAACGCGCCGTGGCTGTTCTCCCTGCTGTGGTGCGCGGGGGTCCCCTCTGTCACCTCCGACAACTCCCACACCCTGTCCCAGGTGCCTTCCCCCCTCTGGATCATGGTGAGTTGGGGGATGGTCAGGGGGCAGAGGGTCCCTGGGGGTGTGTAGAGAGAGCCTGTGGCATGGGGTGGGGGGCAGGCTCCACGCTCGGGGCTCTCTGGTGAGGTCTCAGGGGTGGGGAACAGAGCGTGAGGAGGATTTTCATGGCCTCTGGGGTCTGCACTAAGGTGCTAGGGGGTGGGAAGAACCTGGGCCCAGCCCATGGGGAGGAAAACATCACTCAAGGGCCCTAGAGTAAATTAGTACTTGGGGTTTGGGTTTGGGGGGCGTTTATTATGTTTTGTTTTAAAGGAGGGGAAGGCATTAGATAAAGTAACAATAGAACAAGGATAGGGGTCATTAAACGCCGTTCTGAGAATACAGCAAATAAAACCAATTTTCACCTGGCTGATCAAGCCCCTGCTGACAGGCCTGAGCTCCAGTCCCAGCTCTGCTCCTGGGGGCTCGGGAAACCCCTGACCTCCCTGCTGTGCTCCTACTGCCACCTCCCTGAGGATATGACAACCAGTCCAAGGGTCTTGTTATGGCTGAGACAGTGTCAGGGTCACGGAATCGGATCTCGGTTATGGATGGTATGTCCATCCACCTGCCCGTTGTCCTTACAAACCTCCAAGGGCTCTGCTCAGAACAACGTGAAGTGACTTACTGACTAGCAGCAGCAATGAGCACACTCGAATTTTCAGGCCACAGGAGCTGAGCAACAGCAAGGACTCCTGGCACAGCCTCACCCCCCTTCAGTTTACCTGAGATCAAGGGCCCTGGAGGCCTGGCCGCACTGGAGGCTTTGCTCTCCCTGGCCCCTGGAGGGGGAGCCCACGCTCCACACGTACTCTTACACCCACACAGATGCCGTGCGCCTCTTCACACACACCCCTGCATACTTGCTCGTCATTCACACCTTCACATACAGCTGTCTGCCTTCCATTTACTCACTTTCTGCTTGGAGCCCCCTTAAGCACACAAACCCTCCAGGCTTATTAACACATGCCATCTCTGCCCTGACCACCGCATCTCTTTTCACACACACACACACACACACACACACACACACACCCTCAGAGCCCACTTATTAACACATGCCATCTCTGCCCTGACCACCGCATCTCTTCTCACACACACACACACACACACACACACACACACACACACACACACACACCCCCTCAGAGCCCACTCCTACAAAATACCATCTCAAGGCCCCAAGCCCCAAACCCCCTCTAGGCCCTCCCTATTCCTTCCCTGATGGTGACATAGGGTCGTCCTACCCACGGACCCTCAGTCTAGAGCCCCGGTATGGACTGGCCATGACTGAAAACTGGCCATGGGCGCCATCTGTCCACAGCCCCCAGACGAGTACTGTCTCATGTGGGTCACCGCGGACCTGATCTCCTTCATGCTCATCATTGGCATCTTCGTGCTCCAGAAGTGAGTAGGCTCTGACTCCCTTGCACACCCCACAAGCCCAGCCCCCACCCCAGCCAGTTGAACTTCCTCCTGAGCCCTGGGCCTGGAGAAGCCCTGATCAGGCAGCCTGTTCAGGGTAGGACTGCCCAGCGGGTCCCCTAGCCCATCCTCCTCAGCCAGAGCTGAGCGGCTTCTGGAATGAACACCCAGCTGGGAGCCCAGAGCCAAGCTCTGCCATGACTTGCTGTGTGGACTCTGGCGGGTTTGGGCTCCTCTCCGGCTTGTCCTCACCTGCTCCCCAGGGCTGTCACCAACACCCAGCACTCGGGTGTGCCACGCTGGAGGCCTCCTGCCTGTTTGGGTAGCACCCCGGAGAGCGGTGCAGTGGGGAAGTGGGGTTGGGCCTGGGGGAGGGTTTAAGGCCAGGCAGGGGCCCCGATCCAGCCACCACCCCCAACTGGCTGTTTTATTCCTGACTGACGTTCTCTCTCTGTCACTCACCGCTCTGATCCGGCGCATGTCCCCCCTCTCTCCCCACCCCCTCTCTGCTGCACTCTGGTATCTCACAGCTATCACTTGATCAGGTAATTCTGGTGTGGTCTTCCTCTCCTGTTCCTCTTTCTCCCTCCTCCTTGCCATCGCCTTCTTCAGTTCCATCCGAAAACCTGCCGTGCGCCAAGCCTGTGCCTGGGTCAGGGTCCCTCGCGGGTCACCCTCCTAGACACCTCCGCTCGCCTGACGCCTCCTGCTGTCCCCATCTCGCCTCGTGTGCGCCCGCCGCCCCCTGGTCCTCCTGCTGTTCCTCACAGGTTGCTGACCTGGCCCCTCTCAGCACCAAAGCGGCTCCCCCTGGGGAGGGCCTGGGCCTGGCCACCCCTCCCACGGCTGGCACTCGCAGGGGCCTTCACCCCTGCCCTGCGCCGACCGTACCAAGTTCTGTCTCTCCCTTCCCATCTCTCAGTGTCTCCTCTCGGGCTTTGCCTCTCGAATCGCTGCTTATCTTTCTGCCTCTCATCTCTCTCACTCTCTGTTTCTGCCTCCCACCTGACTCCTCCCGCCTTATACACACAGCCTCCCTGCTTTCCCCTGCGGGAACCCCATGGTGGTTGAGCTTCCTGTCCTGGATGTGCCTGGCTGCAGAGACCCTGGCCTGACACCTTCCTCCTGGGTTTACTGTGAATTTCCAACATGAGTCCTAGGTCCTGGGGATCCAAGCCCCCACCTTGGTCCAATGCCTTGGGCCCTCCTGGTTTAGATAGCTTTACAAACTGCTCCCTGGCTGAGGGACCGAGCCCAGCGAAGGGACATGTACTGGTCCTTCCTTCATTGTCTCCATCAGCAGACACCCCCCTCCCCCATGCTGCACCTGTGCTGGGCCTGCAGCAAGGGGCCAGGCCTTCACCCTTGGAGCCCCAGGGTACTGGGGGGCAGCCGAGGTGGCCCAGGTGCTGGGATGGACATGCCAGGCCTGCTCTTTGTCCAGCCAGGGCCATGACATGGTCTTCCTGGGGGTCAGGAGAGGACTGACAAGAGGGGACCCTGAGGGAGACCATTCCCTGCAGGCCGCCTCCCTCCACTCATACACTCAACAGATCCTCTGGGCACCTGCCACACAGCAGGTTTTGAGGTTGGTGCCAGGGACACTGTGACAAATAAGAGACCCAGTCGCTGGCCTCAAGGACATGTAGGGCAGCCAGCCCAGCCAGAGCACAGGCTGCCTTCCCCTCTGCTTCTTGCTTTCCCCTGTCTGTCTGCTCTTTTCATTCATCCACCTGCCTGTCCATCTGCCTGTCCATTTCTGCTATGCTGACCCCATCTGGAAACAACTGATCTCTCATGAGTCTGGGCTCCCCCACCCACCCCAGCAGGACTCAGTGCCTGGGGGGTTGGGTTCTTGTTTCCAAGCTGACCCCTGCACTTCTCTCAGTGGGAGTGGGGGTGGGGGTCCAGTGAATCTTTCTGTCTAGTTTGCAGGTAAAGTCTTAAGTTCGGAGACCAGGGATTTGGGGCTGGTTGAGAAGAACCGCAATAAGCAAGAACTGCCCTGAGCTGGGCGCAGGACCCCGAGTCCCCGGCTCTGCCTGGCCCCTGCACACCCCGCACAGCCCCACCCAAGTCACTCGGACACCCTTGCCTCTGAACCTGTGAAGACAAGGCCCCCACAGCCTCTCCCTCTCTCCCTCCCCCCCCTTCACTCCCCCCTCCCCCGGGCTTTCCCCACTGGCTTCACTCACCTGGCCCCAAGGGGGAGCTGGAGGATACAGCAGCTGGGACTCCCTGAGATTGGTGTGTACCCCACAGATGGGTGTCAAGAGTCATGCCTGCTAAGCTCTCCCCCAGTTTGTCCCATCCAGAGTCCGTGTGCAACTGTGGGCACCTGAAACACAACTCACCAACCCCAAACCAACCATCTTCCAGGGCAAGGGGACCTGATCTCGGGTTCTGGGGACAAGGGGGAGGCTGGAGAGCCCTGCTGAGAGTCAGTAGACTCTGATTCAAGCCCTAGCTCTGCCCTTGTCTGGACCTCCGTTTCCCCATCTGCAGTTAGACAAGAGACCTGCTGGCTCTCAGGCCAAATCCAGATAGGTTCTGGGATTGGGCAGGATCCCTGCTCCAAGGAAGGGTGGGAAAGGACCTGTGCCCATGGGCCATCTCTGCAGGTGGCGCCTGGGTGGCATACGGAGCTACAACCCCGAGCAGATCATGCTGAGTGCTGCGGTGCGCCGGACCAGCCGGGATGTCAGCATCATGAAGGAGAAGCTCATCTTCTCAGGTGGGCAGCCCTGCAAAATGAGGCCGTGGGCTCAGTTATCTCCAGCCCCCACATGCACTTGAGTATGCGTGCACACATCTGCACGCAACACATACAGGCAGGGACACAGCGCGGACATACATCTACCCACCCAGCTTCACATACACAGAGAGAAGCATGCACCCCTCCATATGCGGTCATCAACTCCAGACCCTGTGGTTGTCAGCCCCATGGGTGGTGGACAGGGGTGACATGTGGCGGGGGTGGGGGGGTTGCTTTCCCTTTGCCTGGTTTATTCACCATAAATACTGATTTTTCACGCCTGCTTGCTGCCAGCCCCTGTTGGCATTCCCAATCTGATGGAGGAGGCGGCTGTATAAACAAATACATAGAAAACTGGGTGCCACTAGAGCTCTAATAGGGGTACTGAGCCAGAGTGGGGTGCAGAGGAGAGTGGTCAGAGCTCTCTGGGGCAGTGAGGGTCTTGGGGCCCACTGTGCAAGGGGACCTAGCTGGAATGGGAGAGATGTGTAGGTGGGGCCTGGGTGATGGGTTTGAGGTGAGGGCTGACCAAGCAGAGGAAAGGAAGGGCATTCAGGCAGGAACAGTAGGTGTTCAGAGGCAGTGAGGGGGCATGGCTTACTGGAGTACCAAGAACTATCCATCCTTCCATGTGGCGTGAGGGGTGGCCTTGTGCTCGCGAGGACAGCACTAGGGGGGCACTTGGGCCTTGAGTGTGTGGTCAGGAACTCGGGCTTCACTTTGAAAGCAGAGTAGGGTCCTGGGCAGATTTGTCGTTGTTACAGTAGGGTTAACAAGCACCACAACCTGGGTGGCTTCAACGACAGAAATTTATTGTTTCAGTTCTGGAGGCTAGAAGTCCAAAATCAAGGTGTTGGCAGGGTTGGTTCATTCTGAGGGCCATGGGAGAAGGATCTGGTCCAGGCCTCTCTCCTTGACTTATGGATGGTCATCTTTGTGTGGACATGGCATTCTCCCAGTATGCATCTCTGTGTCCAAATTTCTCCCCTTTATAAGGACACCAGGCATACTGGACTGGGGCCCACCTTAATGACTTCATCTTAACCAATTAACATCTGCAGCAACCTTATTCTCAAAGTCACGTTCTGGAAGTACTGGGGGTTAAGACTTCAACCTGTGAATTTGGGGGAGAGCACAATTCCATCTATAGCAAGTGTGGATGGTGGACAAGAGGGGGAAGCTGGAGGCAAAGAAACCAGTAGCTCAGGGGAGAGATTGGGTGTGGGAGCACAGAGGAGAGGAGCGATATGAGGGATATTTAGGAGCCAGATGGGCTGGGGTTCAAATCCCAGTCCTATCTCCAACTAGACAGGTGTACCAGAGCACATTAGCATCAGACTCCTCCTCTGTAAAAGGGACTGGCCCTCCCGCACAGGGTGCTTGAGGGGTTAGCACCACACCTGGCCCAGAGGTATGCTGGGTAACCACTGTCTGAATGACCGAGACTCAAGTGGGGGTGACTGATTTGGGGGCTGGTTTCCAGGATTGTGTGACCATCCACTCATTCATTCACTCCTTTATTTATTCATTCCTTCAACAGATGAACGCCAGGCACTGTTTTAGGTGCTTAGGATTTACAGATTCCTGCCAATGGGGCACTCACATTCCTCCTGCCTTGGCTCAAAAGGAGCCTTCCCTGAGCACCAAGGCTGGGTTGGAGTGCCTCCCCTGGTGACCCACAGCCCTCTAGCCACACTGGGGAGCTCCTGGAAGGAGGGGCCAATCAAAGGCCCCTGGGGTGCCCAGGCTCCCACAGCCTGGCCCAGAGAAGTCAGAAGGGGCAGAGAGAATGAATGGAAAGAAAGAGACCAGCCCCTAGGCCTGGCAGGTTCTGTGCCTCCAGGCCCCCACCTGTCCTTCAATGCCAAAGGCCATTCACTGAGCACCTTCTGAGTGGAGACTCTGAGGAGCCAGCCAGTCCTCACCCCATCCTGCCCACTGCAGGTTGAAAAGTCCTTTCCAGAGACCCTCAGCCTCACCTCCCCTCAGGGTAGGCTCAGCTCCACTCAGCAGACCTTTTCTGAGCCTCTGTTATATGTACAGTGCTGTGCCAGACAGTAGGACACAGATGCCCAGACCTCACCCCTGTGCTTGAAGTACTCCAGTTGGTGGGGGCCACAGACAGTGACAGTACAGGAGGTGATGGGGCAGGGGGAGGCAGGGGCTAGGGTGGCCATGAGGAGGCCCCATTCCAGCTTGGGGGACTCAGGGGAGGCTTTGAGGAGGCGGTAATAACAGAGATGAGAAAAACTGAGCTAGATTTTAAGAAAAGGAAGTGTTGACAGGGAGGACACCCCCAGGAGAAGGACCAGTGTGTACAAAGGCCCTGAGTAAATGCATGGGCACCAAGATCAGGAGGGTACAGATGGTTTTCTGTGGCTGGAAGGTGGAATTCCAGGGGAGAGTGGACTGAGGTGTGGCCAGAGTGTTTGCAGAGTCCAAGGAGGGCCTTGAAAGCCAATCTCAATAGCAAACCTGAACCCAGTGATTTCATCAACCTCCAAGTGCCTGACCAGGACTTCCCGTGGGTTACCCTTCCTGCTGCATTTGCCAGCCATCCTCATGGACCCCTCTTCTCCCCACTCATATTCTGCCTCCCTCTGGCCCCACAGAGATCAGCGATGGCATGGAGGTCTCCGATGAGCTCTCTGTATGCTCAGACAACAGTTATGACACGTACGCCAACAATGCTCCCACCCCTATGGATAACCGCAGGAGCGGCAGCCGCACCAAGACGCTCACGGACCGCAGTGGGCGTTAGCCGAAGACCTGTCTGTCCCAGCCTGTACCTACTGTGGAGACCAGGGAACCCAAGAGAGCTGGCAGAAGCATGTCTGGCCTGGGAGTGCTCTGGGAGCTGGCTCCATGGCCTCCTCGTTGGCTCCAGCCCTCTGTCAGCCATGGCCTCCCTTGGAGGGGGTTCCCCTCTCTCCTGAGGCCCACTTGGGTCAGGACTCCAGCCTCACAGATGCCCCTGCAGGCCTGGGGCTCCTTCTGGAAAGTTTGGAGCCTGGGGCCTGGTCCTCCCCTGGAGGCCTTCCCTTATATCCTGATCTGGAAGCTCTGATGAGTCACTGGGCTATGCCATGCCCCCTGTGGCAGTTGAGAATGTGGATGTCCACCTGTCCGTCCTCCTGTCTATCCTCAGAGGCAACCGACTCCTGCATGTCTCCTGCCTCAAGGGCCTGGACTGGGCCTCTGTTCATGTCAGTCTCAAAAGCACAAGGATTTTCAGCCCAGGAGGAAAGCCTGCTGCAGTGGTGGAGACACTCCTCCCCGACCGGCCTCCTACCACCACTGGCCCTGCCCCAGGAGAGGGACCGAGCCACGTCCCCAGGAGCAGCTGGAGACGGCCAGAAGAGTAGGCTTAAGGCTGCTTTTACCCCTTACCTAAGTGTCCAGCAGGCCTCTAGGGCAGAGTGGCTCAGAGGCCCAGGAGATCCACAGACTGACACAACCTCAGGTTTCCACATCTGTGGCCACAGGGCAGTGGCCACGTGGGAAAGAGTGTTCTAGGCATGGCCAAGGGTGGGCATATGGCCAAGGAAGCCTACAGCAGGGCGAACCTGAGGGCCTTGGTCAATATGATTAAAGCTGCCATCTTGACATGTGTCGTCTCTGAGTGGTCTGTGGGAGGGTAGGGAGAGGATTTGCTGGGTTTGGGATTCAGTTTTGGGTTGATGATTTGAGGAGGAAGCATTCTCAGAAGTGAATGGAAGAGTGCAGGGTGCTTGGGCCCCTACCCAGCATCACCAGGACACTGGGACTTCCTGAACAGCCCTGGGATTGGGGACCAGTATCCCCATATTGTGGTGGGGGGAGATGGTCCTGGAGTGGTAAAGTGACCATCCAAAGCCACACAGCTGAGAATGGGCAAAGCCAGGAGCCCGCCCAAGCTCTGGCCCCAGAGTGGATGCATGCCTTCCATAACCAGCCAGAATGGTGAGGCAGATGGGGAGGCCTCCTGGGTCTGATGTAGGGCTGGGTGGCAGAACCAGCAGGGCCCCTCACAGCTATATGGTGGCTTTCTGAGGTGTTTCCTAGGAGCCAAGGGATGTATCTCTTCTCAAAACGGGTCTTCTGGATAGAATTCTTGGGGTCTGAGCAATTCTGGCACCTTCTTAGAGGAAAAGAAAAGAAACCCCTTCCAAATGCTGGAATTCAGACTGCCCCCCCCCATTAAACTCTAGGACTGCCCACTGGGAACTGAGGGGATTCACCCTCCTTTCATCCTACTGAACCATCTGCCAAGTGCATCCCTTCCCGGGGCAGAGATCAACTCCCATCTCTCCCTGGGCATGAAGTATAAGGGAAATCCTGAATGGCTGGATTAGGGATGGGGCACACTGCTCTACCCAAAATGCCTCAGTAACCTCTCCAGCCTCTGGCAGACCCACCCAGGAAAGTGGATTTGACCTTTCACTCCAGCCTTTCCCTGACCCTTCAGTGCCCCTGGCTAGGATATCCCAGGCTCGTGGCCACACTTGGCTATTTGAGACATCCTGGAGCCTTCAGGGGCAGGTAGAAGGGGCTGGGAGTTCTGAGTGGGACAGCGAGTTAGCACCCCACTCTCACCAGGGCCCTACACTGTACCCACCTCCCCGATGCGGAGGCAGTCTAGCTGCCTCCCCTCACCCCAAACAACGGAGGGAGGATGGAGGCCATCCCCTAGCTGGGCAGACGGCCAGTCTTGTCTCCACCCTCAGCTGAACCCACAGCCTATGGTCAATACTGGCTCCTGCCCCTTGACCCGAAGAGTTACTGAGAACCCCACCTTCCTGATGCCATCCCCCACACTCTCCCCTTGTCTACACAGGACAGACAGACTGCCCTGTTCACAGGAAAACCAGAGACAGGGCCCGTTCCCTTCCCACTTCTCTCCTTCCTTGGACCTCAGGGTTGTGGCCTCCACCAGGTGGAGCCTGCCCTCCACCTGCTCAGGGCCCTCCTTCCCAAGTACAGATATAAAAGGGCCCAAATCTCTCCTGTCCTTTGACACACAGCAATGCATACTCCTTTTTTAGGGAGAAAGGAGATATACCTTTCCCTGGCGTGGGGTACACGAAACAGACTCTGCCCCCAGGCCTCGGGACACATACTTGGCCAGCATCACAGTGAGCCCATCACAGTTCCTTCCACAAACAGCCTGCCCAAGCTAGCCAGGCCACTGGCAAGGCCACGTTCCTGCAGCACCCCGGCCTCACGGACTCCACACAGCACATGGCTTTCACAGACAAACCTCCCCGAGTGTCACAGCAACCCAGTAAGATAAGGCCGGGCAGGAACTGCAAGCCTCCCTCCTGCCAAGATGAAGAGCTGAGCCAAGGGATGGGCAGTGATCTGCCTAGGGCTGCATGGCGAGTCACGGCAGTTCCAGGACCAGGCCCCAAGTGCCCTGGGCCTGTCTGGGCTCTTGTCAAAGCAACCTCCTCCCAATTGCTGTCCTCGTCTATGAAGGCAAATCTCACCAGCCCCTCAAACACCAGGCCCTGTGGCCCTTTGTGGAGGCAGCAAATGACCTAGGACCAGCCTACAGGGTGGCCTCCCCTGGCTCCGGGAGGCCAGGCTGGCCCAGAGCTGCCTGCTCTTATCTACCCCAGCCAGGTCTGCTCAGTACTACCACGGCCCACCTCACTGAGTCCCCTCCAACGTGGGTGCACTGCCGAAAACCACCTCAACTCATACAATGCCATGGCCATAAGACCACACATGGGCCCCAAGCCACAACCCCCTGTCCTGCAGACAGACCCACGTCACACAAAGGATCACATAGACAAAGAGGGACCCACCAGGCAGACAACCAGACACATGAAGTCCTACGATGACAATGTCTGCTGTCCAACAGGAACACAGATAGGCAGAGTCACACAGAGGTAGGAGGGAATCCAAGGTCCCAAAGCTATGCAGCCACAGTGTTAGTCCCACCTACAACTACACAGTCACACCCACCACATCCCTGTGTGCTCCCACACTCACATACAGGCACCCTGGCACACCTGGACCCTCATAACCACCCGACTACACCCCGACTCCTTAGGGCAGTCCCCTCCCCCCGCACCTTCACATCCATACATTTATTCAAGGGCACAGCCAGCGCCAGATCACCCCCAATCCAGGTACAAGGATCCCCGAGATGCATGCACGGTCAATGCCACGCTTACTCGCGCCTCCTGCCTTCCCTCCCTCCCAGGGCTGGCCAAAGAATGGAACAAAAGCCCAGCGTCCCCTCCTCCCCCTCTCCTCTCCCCTCCCCCCTGGCGTCCAGCCCCTTTGTCCTCCTGCAGCGGAGCCGGAGCCGGAGTCCAGGCAGAGCGGCAAGGACACTGGAGCCCGACTGCCAGGGCTGTAGCAGCAGGACAGACAGGAGTGGTCAGTACGAGAGCAGCACCTGCTGAGCCCCCGGGTGAGCCATGGCCAGGTAAGTGCCAGGTACATCCGGGGACTTAGCCCCTCAACTGGCAGGGCCGTGTGGTGTCTACAAGTCTGAGTGTGTGTGTGTGAGAGGGAGTGTGGGTGTGAACAAGAAACGGGGGCATGTCAACTTCTAGGGGCTGGATCCCTTAGTTCGCATCAGAACTCTTGGCTGGAGGTACCCAGATGCTTAGCTAGGACGAAAGAACGTCCAATGGAGCCCTGCCTGGGAATCCCTACCATCCACGTTGCAACTGGGTCCTCTGGCCCCCAGACTGGGAATCCCCAGGGTGGAAACGGAGTCTGATGTCCCAGTGTGACCACAGTGCCCGGCACAGTAGACAGCAGTAGAACGAATGAAAAAGTATTGGTGCACTTCCCAGGAGGAGACTCCCTCTCCTTGTGCTACAGGGAGAGGTCCCTCCTTACTCTAAAGAGACCTGCCTTCCTGGATCTCAGCTCAGGGGGTGACTGCTTTCTTAGCAAGCAGCCAGCAGAGAACCGAATGGGGGCAGCATGCTCCAATGACCCCCCTCACCTCCCTCTGCTGATCCTGGGCTGCTCCTTAGGACATGCCCTCACCCTGGCAAATGTGGCCAAGCAGCTAGGCATGCAGAGTCTGCAGCCAGGTGGGTTCAGGGCCCACCCCCTCTGCTTGGGCACAGTTAGCTTCCTGGGACCCTGCCCACCAGGGAGCTCATTTCTGTAATCCTGACATGGGGATCCACCACCCAGGATGACCGGGGCATGAGCAGTGAAAGCTAGATCTGACCTCCGGGGCAAAGCAGTCTCAGAGAAGGCAGAGCATGGAGCATGGAGGGAGAGGCAAGAGGTAGAGGGCAGAGTTGTGCTCCCCTACAGTAAGTTGCCACATAAAGAAGTGAGCTCCCTGTCCCTGGAGGTGTGCAAGCAGAGACTGTATGTTCATAATGACCAAATCACAACCAGCCCAGTACCGCCCCCGAGTCTGTACAGTGCTTTCAGAAACACTCCTCCTTTGGTCCTCAGAGCAACCTCTGAAGGGCCGGTTTCCTGTGTGCTTCTTTTAAGGAAAGACAAACTTAAAGAAGGGCAGGGGCCTCTAAAGAAATGCTCAGGGTTGTGAGGATCAGATGAAATTACGTACATAAAAGCAGCCAGCACACCTGGCATGCTCCCTTCCTCTTGTGTTAGCGGAGTCTGTACTATGTACCTAGCGCTTTTCATATTCCACTTCATAAGCACAACGTCACAACAATGCTGTGGGCAATATCACCCCATTTCAGAGGAGGAGGCTGAAGGGGAGTTACTTGCACAGCTCACACAGTGAGTCAGTGACAGAGGCAGGTTTGGAGCCCGGATCAGTCCGTAGAGCCAGCTCTTTCCATCTCCCCCCAGGGCTTCCTTGAGAACACCAAGAGAACTCGCTAGAGAGAGAGCTAACTTCCCTCTCAGCCTGGGTTCTAGTCTCCTGCCCTCCTTCCCTCTGGGCCCTAGCACAGATTGTTCCCTAAATGGAGACATCCTCCCTGAACTCCCTTCCCTTCTCCTGGCTAATTCCCCCTATACTTCTCAGTCTGAAGATCCCTCAGGGGATACCTTCCCTGACTCCCCTCCAACAGGGTCTAGTGCCCCTTCTATTGGCTCCCACACTCCCCCATGGGACCCCCACCAAGCTGTGAGATCCAGGACTCACAGGGTCTATGCTTGTCTTGCCCACTGCTTGGCACAGAAAAGGCTCTAAATACATGCTAGCTTAATGCGTCCACTCAACCTTAAACAGATATTAACTGAGCACCTACTGTAGGAGAGGCAGATATTAAATAGAATAATCAGGGGGCATCTGGGTGGCTCAGTCGTTAAGCATCTGACTTCAGCTCAGGTCATGACCTTGGGGTCCTGGGATCGTGCCCAGTGTCAGGCTCCACACTCAGCGAGATGTCTGCTTGTCCCTCTTCCTCTCCCTCTGTCCCTCCCCCCACTCCTGCGCGTGCACGCTCTCTCTCTAATAAATAAGAAAAATATAAATAAATAAATACCTAAATAGATCAATCAATCATCAGGGTTTGGTCAGCAGGGAGCACCTAAGGGCAAGAGGAGACAGAATACGGTGATGAGAGGGAGCAGAGTTATTCCTCCCCACACCACACTAGGTCTCTGTGGGGTAGCCTGAGTCCTACAGCTCCTGTCAGGGGGCCGTTCCTATACAGATATTT